ACCTCCAACTCCTGGGCTCAAGCGAGTCTCCTGCCTCAGCCTCCCAAGTAGCTGGGACCACAGGTGTCCGCCACAACGCCTGGCTATTTTTTTTTTTTGGTTGCAACCGTCATTGTTGTTTGGCAGCCCGGGCTGGATTTGAACCCACCAACTTAGGTGTATGTGGCTGGTGCCTTAGCCACTTGAGCCATAGGCGTTGAGCCCAAAGGGAAGTCTTTTTATGACTCTTGGCAGATCTATTACGGAGAGATGGGGCTGCAGGGCCTGGGTAACTTCACTGTGTCCTCTTGGATTTCTGATCACCACAGGTGTGTTCCCATTCTTCCATTGTATTCCTTCAACACTGGAGTCCAAGGGTCCTCAAACTTTTTAAACAGGGGGCCAGTTCACTGTCCTTCAGATTGTTGGAGGGCCGGACTGCGGGCCCTGGGATGAGTCAGCTGCTAAGCAAGACAGGCAGAGGTGGCAAAAATACCAGATGGGAGATAAATGTCCTAGGTGGGCCGCATGCAGCCCACAGGCCATAGTTTGAGGACACCTGCTCTAGTCAAACCTTCACTATTAATTCATTACCTTGATTTTTTTCCTGCGAGAGAGACAAATGTAGCCATCTCTAGTTAAACATCTTGCTCTTCATCACTGAGGCTCCATCTCTACCAAACCCACACTAGTGATTAAACATCATAACACCAGTAATAGAGCCTGGGTGCAAGACTGGCTGTGCTGGTGGTCCTGAACAGCAGGGAAACCGACTCCTACCACTTTCACTTTGAACTAGAGGAACAGTCTGGCAACACTGTGCAGAGTAAACCTGCCCTGGAGCCGGCCAAAGCACCACACACCCTCCCTTGAGCAAGATGACCCCTCAAGCCTGCAAACAGTTCATTGGCCAGCAAGGCAGCTTGTGCTTGTATCCTGATTGACATCCCTGAAGTGCCCCATTCCCTGCATACAAGCACCTGACATACCTAATAGCCCTGCACCCACAATCAGAGCCCAAGAACCTGCTCTGTAGACTGTCCTTGGCAAAAATGCCCCTAGGCCATCTGAGCAGCTATGTACCTGTGCCTCAGGACTGACAGCTATGCAGGCTGGCCCTGATAGGTAAGCCCCAAGGCAGTTGAACAGCTGGGCATTCATTCAAGTCTTGGTTTTAAGAAGCAGCCTGAGCCAGGCACAGTAGCTGATGCCTGTAATCCTAGCACTCTGGAAGGCCAAGGCAAGTGGACTGGTTGAGCTCAGGAGTTTAAGAACAGCCTAAGTAGAGAGAGACCCTGTCTCTAAAATCACCCAGGCACTATGGCAGGTCCCTGTAATTCCCAGCTACTTGGGAGGCTGAGGCAAGAAGATCATTTGAGCCCAAGAGTTGAGATTGCTGTGAGCTATGACACCATAGTACTCTACTGAGGGTGACAAAATGAGACTCTTGTTTCAAAAAAAAAAAAGGCCGGGCTTAGTAGCTCACACCTGTACTCCCAGTACTCTAGGAGGCTGAGGCAGGTGGATTCTTTGAGCTTATAAGTTCTTTGTCTCTACTAAACCCAGAAAAACTAGCCAAGCATTGTGATGGGTGCCTGTAGTCCCAGCTATTCAGGAGGCTGAGGCAAGAGTTTTGCCTGAGCCCAAGGCTTTGAGGCTGCTGTGAGCTATGATGCCACAGTACTCTATCCAGGGTGACAGAGTGAGGCTCTGTCTCAAAAAAAAAAAAAAAAAAAAAAGCCTGGTGGGACACCTTTAGGGACACACCCCATGCCAACTGAGCAGCAGTGTGCTCCCATCCCAGATCTGAGAAATAGTCCTGTGGGCTACCTCCAGCAGACATGCCCTCAGGCCAGCCAAGCAACTGTGTGCCCAAGTTCAGACCTGAAAAGCAGTCTTGTAGTATACCCCCAGAAGATACATACCTGAGCCAAGCACAACTTCAGCAGTTGTGTAGCTCTGTGCTGGATCTAAGAAACAGTCTCATGGTTGCCAGCAGCAAATGTGCTCCCAGGTCATCTAACTATTCCTGTACCTGCATGCCAGGCCTGAGATACAGCCATGTGAGCTGACCCTGGTGGGCATACCCCCAGGCTAGCTAAGCAACCATGTACTTGCCTTCCGAGTCCCAGTAACTTGCCTGTGGTCTCAATCCCAGTAAAGTAGACCCCAAGTTGGCCAACTAACCATGTACAAGCATAAGCTCTCAATCAGAGAAAGCCCAGTGTGGACCCCAAGTTGGCCAACTAACCATGTGCAAACATAAGCTCTCAATCAGAGAAACAGCCCAGTGAGCACACCACTAAGCTGCACCATTGTTGCCACAAATTGTCAGCCTAGGTCACCAAGAAACTCACAAATGTTTCTAGTGGATTACAGCGGAAGAAACCACATGAAGACTACACTACTGCATCCGCCTAGACTCAAAAGTACTCACCCTGGCTAGGCACAATGGCTCATGCCTGTAATCCCAGAACTCTGGGAGACCAAGGCAGAGAATTGCTTGAGCTCATGAGTTCAAGACCAGCCTGATGAAGAGTAAGACCCTGTCTCTACTAAAAAAAAAAAAATAGAAAAATTAGTCAGGTGTGGTGAGTTGTCCCAGCTACTCAGGAGGCTGAGACAAGAGGAGCCCTTGAACCCAGGAGTTTGAGGTTGCAGTGAACTATGACATCATAGCACTCTAGCCTGGGCTGCAAATGAGACTCTGTCTCAAAAAAAAAAAAAAAAAAAGGAAGGAAGGGAGGGAGGAAGGAAAGAGAGAGAGAAACACACGCACACAAAGGGGGCAGGACCAGCCTGAGCAAGAGTGAGACCCTGCGTGTAAACTGTACCATGTGGTAAGTTTGGACCATCACTTTATTTTTACCTAGGGCTTTTTTTTTTTTTTTTTTTTGGAGACTGCCAGGTATTGCTCTTTTGCCCAGACTGTTGTGCTGTGGCATCATCATAGCTCACTGCAACCTCCAACTCCTGGGCTCAAGCAATCTTCCTGCCTCAGCCTCCTGAGTACCTGGAACTATAGGCACAGGCCACCACATCAGCTACTTCTTTTCTGGCTTTTTTGTAGACAGTGTCTTGCTATGTTACCCAGGCTGGTCTTCAAGCCTCAAGCTAGCCTCCCAAAGTGCTGAGAATACAGGTGTGAGTCACTGAGCCTGGCCTCCAATGATGTTTTAGAAACTAAGTAGAAGCCGAGTATCACAGACCCAGAACTAATACGTTTACAAACACCTGGGCGATCAGTTGTACACAATACCCGCTCAGAACGTGATGAAGGCTCCTTCCAAGAAAGGAAGGCCCTTCTCTGCATTTGGACCAGAAGCTGCCATTGCCCAGCGCCCCTCGCGGTGGCGCTCAGTCCTTTCTCTTGGAAGCCTGAGACGTGTTCCTCGTTCTGTACATTTCCCGGAACTACATTATCCAGTGAAGCCTTAGAGAGGAGGTGCCTTTGCCAGAGGTACGTAGCGTCAGGTCTGGATTTCCGGCGTCCTGCTTGAGGCGGCCATTTTAGCTGGTTTTGTGTACATGTTGCTGCACTGGGTATGAACCAATGTGACAAGATTGAAAAAGAGTGAGAAGAGTGATTGTGCTTGCTGCACAGAGGCGGATCTGAGGCTCGATGACGCAACAGACCCGGGATAGGGACCGCCGTGCCCAGCTCCGCGGACAAAGTCCGATGGCGGCGGCCACGTTGAGGGACCTGGCTCTGGTAAGTGACTCCGGGCTTCACTTGCTCCCACCCTACTCAGATCAGAAGGCGCCAGTGAGGAGCGCTTCATCGCCCGCAACCCAGGGCTCTGTCCTGGACAGTGAGGCACTCATGGTGTGGTCCCTGTTTCTCATTACGTGGGATGTGGGTGGAAGTGTAACAGGCAGAGGGTCAGCATGTGCAAAGGCTCGGCGGGGCGACTGAGCTAGGAGGATTTGTAACTCAGGGACATTTTGTGTCCACTGGTAAAAAAAATTGTTAGGTAACAGTTACTCCTTTAGTTAGGGTGACCAGACGTCCCGATTTTGGCGGGACAGTCCGGCTTTTCATCAATTTGTTCCGCGGCGTTTTAAAAAAGTCCCGATTTTTGGAAAGAATGCACAAATGGGCTGGAGAACAAGAAGGGAATATACGGTTTTCGGCCACCATATGGCTATTTCGCCAGAATATGAGTTTTATATTATTTTTGTTAATTTTATAATGTTAAACTGTAATAAATAATTGCTGAGAAGTGATTATCGAGAACTGCTTATCAAAGTTTGCCTTGTTGTCAAGCCCTGCCCTGCGCCGTCCCCCCCCCCCCCCCCCCGCCCGTGTTGTCCCGCCTTACAGATGTTAAAATCTGGTCACTCTGCCTTTAGTATAATGCTGAAGATTGTACTTTGATAGAGGCCATGGAGAGTTTTGAACAAAAAAGGAACTCCCTATATGTGGGTTTTTAAAATATTTTCCTAGTGGATGTTAAAAGGAAGAACAGACTAGAAGGAGGTAATAAGGACATTAAGGCATTGAGAGGTTAAATATTTGTTCAAGGCCACGTAGCTAGTAAGAGAGCATTAAACCTAAGGTGACCAGATTTTAACACTGGTAAAGCGGGACACCATTGTCGAGGGGGTGGGGGTTTTGGGGGGATGGGGGGGTGTTCTTAATTAAAAATTTGGTCTATATGGAGCAACAAAAATTTTTATAGAATGCAAAATAGTATTGTAATATATATATTTTTAATTTCAACATAAGTACAATTTACAAATATAATACATTTTAAAAAATTATGTATATGGCGGTGCCTGTGGCTCAAAGGAGTAGGGCGCCTGTCCACCTGGGCGACCTTGCCCAGGAGGGGAGTAGGGAGTTTACATTAGCCTTTTCATTTCCAAATAAAGGTACGTTAACCTCTTCATTCCCAAATGGAGTTACATTAACCTTTTCAGCAGCCGAAAACCGTATATTCCCTTCCCTAGCTTGTGGTGCATTCTTTCCAAAAATCAGGGCTTTTTAAAATGCTGCGGAACAAATTGTTAAAAAGCGGGACGTCTGATCACCTTAATTAAGCCTCCAGAATAAAGAGCCAGCCTGAGGTCTCTTAGCTTCAGGGCCAGACATAAGTTACAGAGAGTCCTCAGTCCATCAGATCCCACCGTGGAGGCTCGGCGCCTGTGGCTCAAGTGGCTAAGGCACCAGCCATATATACACCTAAGGTGGGGGGTTCAAATCCAAGCCGGGCCTGCCAAATAACAACGGCTGCAACCAAAAAATAGCCGGATGTTGTGGTGGGTTCCTGTGGTCCCAGCTACTTGGGAGGCTGAGGCAGGAGACTTGCTTGAGCCCAGGAGTTGGAGGTTGCTGTGAACTGTGATGCCACAGCACTCTACCCAGGGGGATAGCTTGAGGCTCTATCTCAAAAAAAAAAAAAAAAAAATCCCACCATGGACACATTCCTGAAGGACTTACCTTTTTACACATCTTCTCATGGTTGTAGAAGCGCTTAAGGAACTCACACAAGGAAAGTAGAGGGGTGTTCTAGTTCCTCAGTGGCATATATTGTCTAGCTTGTGGTGTCATGGGGCTCTTGTGTGCCTTTTCTGCAGTCCTTTGATATGGGGATCTTAGAAAAAATCCAGATTCAGGGTTTGAAGTCAGTGATACAGGAAATGGGAAGATGTTTTTCATTTCTGTCAGCTGATGTAAACACATGTGGAAGGTTAATACAGGATCTGATGCTGGGATTATGCAAATGCAAGGGGGGAGGTGATGTTACCTAGGTCTTAACATCCCTTTTTTTTTTTTTTTTTTTTTTGAGACAGAGTCTTGCTTTGTCACCCTTGGTAGAGTGCTGTGGTGCCATAGCCCACAGCAACCTCAAACCCCTGGGTTCAAGCAATTTTCTCGCCTCGGCTTCCCAAGTAGCTGGGACTACAGGCCTAGCCACAGTACCCTATTTTTAAAGATGAGGTCTAACTTTTGCTGATTTGGAACTCCTGAGCTCAGCCCACTCACTGACCTTGGCCTCCCAGAGTGCTGGGATTGTAGGCATGAGCCACTTTGCCCAGCTATACAGGCTCTTTCTGGTTGCAGAGTGGAGAATGTGGGCTTGAGGGAGGTGGAAGGGAGATCCAATTGAAGGCTCGTGCCATAGTTCACATGAGGGATTAATGGACCAAAGTTGTTGCTTAAGAGATGTGGCTGGATTCTGGATTCATATTTTTTAGAAGGGCAACTAGATTTTCTAATGTGACCCATGAGGACTTAAAAGAGGATTTAGGGACTCTACGTGGTAGCTCATATTTGTAATTCTTGCACTCTGAGAACCCCTGAGCTCAGGAGTTCAAGACTAGCCTGAGCAACAGCAAGACCCTATCTCTACTAAACAAACACAAAAATTACCTGGCTATTTTCAAGCAGTGCCTGTAGTACCAGCTACTCAGGAGAGAGGGATTGCTTGAGCCCAAGAATTTGAGGTTGCTGTGGCCTAGGCTAATGCCTCTGGCTCAAAAAAAAAAAAAAGACAAAGAGGATTTAGGAATGATCCCCACCCCCACTCCCCCAGGGTTTGGTCTTAGCAGCTGTGACCTTAGAAGCTGTATAAACTGTGATGAACAAGTGTTGTTTAGTTTTAATTTGGAAAAATAAAACTTTATTGAACAAATGAAAGAGTATATCTGTTTCCTAAGAAAGGCAATAATAATGGACTTGCAAGAAACAAGTGTTTTTTTTTTTGTTTGTTTTGGACAGAGTCTCACTATGTTGCCCTCAGTAGAGTGCCATGGTGTCACAGCTCATAGCAACCTTAAACTCTTGGGTTTCAGTGATTATCTTCTCTCAGCTTCCCAAGTAGCTGGGACTACAGGTACCCACCACAACACCTGGCCGTTTTTTTGTTGCAGTTGTCATTGTTTAGCTGGCCCAGGCTGGTTTGAACCTGCCAGCCTTGGTGTATGTGGCCGGCACCCTCCCCACTGAGCTATGGGCACCACCAGGGACAAGTTGCTTTTAGGTATAATATTCCCTGAGGGTATCAGGAGGTTTGTTTTGGTCAGAGTAGAAAAAACCCCAGTCTGTTTTTCCTCTGCTTTCCTCCAACAACAGTCACACAGAATACTTCTGTGACCAGATATGTGAAGGGTTTTCCTCACACACAAGGAATTCTCTAGAGGATTCCAGATAGGTGTCCTTCAATTCAATTTCAAAGTTATCTATAGAGTCAAATCCTACAGGTTGAGGGCTCAGTCCCACAAAACTGCCCAACCCTCCCACTTCTGATGCCAGTCACAAATCTCAAGATGTTTTTGCCTGTGCTTCTGACTGACCTGCTACAAATCTATTTCCCATAACCCCTTCCTTGAGTTTCATTAATTTGCTAGAGCCAGTCACAGAACTTAGGAAGACGTGTCTACTGGTTTATTATAAAGGATAAAGATGAAGAGTTGCATAAGGCAAGGCAAGGGGGAAGAGGCATGGAGATTCCATATCCTCCTGGTTGTACCACCTTTTTGGAATCTCCCTGAAGCCTTTCCTTTTGGGATTTTGTGGAGGCTTTATTACATAGCATGATTGATTAAATCATTGACCATTGCTGATCAACTTAACCTTCAGCACCACTCCTCTTTCTGAAAACTAGGGTTGGGACAAACTTTCCAGCCCTCTAATCCTGTCTTAGTCTTTTCTGTGACCATCCCTCATCCTGAAATTACCCGAGGGGCTGCCAGCCCCCAGTGAAGTCATTAGGAATTACAAACATATTTTGAGATTCCAGAGATTTTAGGAGTTGTGTCCCACAAGGTGTAGGGGGGGGAGACTAAATATTTCTTAATATCACAGCCATATTAAGAGTTTCCAATATTTCAGAAACTACTAAATGAAGGTATCAAATAGGCAGTTGGATACAGATGTTGCTATATGGAGATAGATTGATATTGGAGATAACCAGTATATATTAGCTACTATGTAGACCAAGGTTAGTGAGCCATGGGTCACATTTAGGAAGGGCAATCATTAAATTATGGTGGTAAAGCTCTCAGAGGAACAACAAGGAGAAGGTTGGGTCTCCTGGTTGGGTACTTGGATGATGGTATTGACCCCCTAGAAACAAAGGTGAGAGAGGTGAGTGGCCATATGAGGAAGATATATCAGACAGCATAGTTTGGCAGGGGGCATGGGCTTTTAAGGAGAAAATGGACAAGATGGGTGCAGAACCACAGAAATAATTGGATGGAAATGACACTCAGGTGGAAACTTGTGCTTATTCACCATTCTGTGGATTTATCCCCATTTTGAGCCAACTTTGGTGGCATCTGAGGTGTTTTATTCACCTCAGAGGGAAAAGGGTTATCTGTGGTTGGGTGCGATGGCTCATGCTTATAATCCTAGCACTAGGGAAGGCCAAGGCAGGTGGATTTTTCTGAGCTCATGAGTTTGAGACCATCTTGAGCAAGAGAGAGACCCTGTCTCTAAAAATACCTGGGCATTGTGGTGGGCACCTGTAGCCCCAACTACCTGGGAGGCTGAGGCAATTGCTTGTCCCCAAGAGTTTGAGGTTGCTGTGAGCTATGATGCTATGGTACTCTACTGAGGGTGACAGAGTGAGACTCTGTCTCAAAAAAAAAAAAAAAAAAGGAAAGGAAAAGATTATCTGTGACAATTGATAGGCCTGGGGTGGGTGACCAGTGGGTCTGGGCTTTGGAATTCTGTGGACAGAGGGAATAGCAAGTGCAGTACAGAAATGGGATAGGGCTGTGCATATCTCAAACCATATGTGGTTCTGTGTGGCTATGAATTCATATACTAAGGCCTTCATATGAATCATTTGGGGCTACCACTGCTACTGGGAACCACAGGAACTCTGTGGCAATTTTAGATTGTTTGAATTTACCATGCATACTATAGGTGTTGTCAGCCATGTTGTGGTGTAAGGCCCAATCTGATGTGCCATTATGACATCTGGTGATGTTGATGTGACCTGAAATGGCCTGACTGCAAATCCCTTAACCAGTCTGCTCTCTTGGTTAATATATCCTAGCCTAACACACCTTTTTATCAAAGGGACCAGGCAGAGCTTCTGGTTATTCCTTTGTAATGAGGTTTGATTTCATTCCTACCCACAGAGATATTCAGACAAGCCAATTGCATTCTTCCAAGGGAATCAGGCCGTCACACCATCTTCATCCTACAGAGATTGAATCCAACACTTCCTGGTTGCTTACTTTTATCCATAGTGCAATCCCCATGTGCTCCTCTGTGGTGAATGCTATCTTCTCAGGCTATGAGTCTATAGTAGAACCTCTGTAGTTGACCACCTCAGGTTGACCTAATTTTCATAGACCAGGAGTGCATCACATGTACATTATCAGTACAGTGGGCCTTGCTCCTTATGTTAACCAGTTTGTTACAGTCCATGGTTGGTCAGCTTACACAGGTTCTACTGCTTTTGGTCAGTGAACTGTTGATGATATGTGACCAGTGTCAGGAATTGTCATTTTTTTGTTTGTTTGTTTGTTTGTTTCTTATTTTTGTTTTAGGAGTTGTCATTTTGCCATCACTAGGGTAAGAATCCTACCCTTACCATTAGAAGGGAAAGTAGGGAATTAAAATACTTGTAGGAATGCGAGAGGGAGGCCAGTAATGGAGATCAGTCAGGTGGGAATGGCCATGGGTGGGACATGTATGTAGAGAGGGAGTATGTCTGATGGCTCTAGGGCACTGTATTGGCATTACATGACCTTACCTATAGCAGGGGAATTGCTGGTAAAGAGTAGGTGAATCCCTTTTAATTGATTGATTGATTGATTGATTGCAGTTTTTGACCGGGGCCAGGTTTAACCCTGCCACCTCCAGTATATGGGGCTGGCGCCCTACTCCTTTGAGCCATAGGTGCTGCCCAAGAGAAGGTGAATCCCTTTTATGTCAGGACCACAGCTTAGATACTTACTTGTTTACCTGCCTCTTATTGCTAATGGTTGTACTCCGTGATCATTGGGCCCATGAGGACACAATAGCACCAGTGAGAAAGTATTTCCTCTGAGTTGGAGACCTTGGGAGGAGGATGGGCAAAGGTAGGTGTGTGGGGAAAATGGATTGTGGATCTTCAGCATAGGGGTATTTGTGGTTTCATCTGTTCTCATCATAACAGAGCAGTGTGACCTTTGAAGACGTGGCTGTCAACTTTTCCTGGGAGGAATGGAATCTTCTTAATGAGGGTCAGAGATGCCTGTATCGTGACGTGATGCTGGAGAACTTGACACTTATAACCTCCCTGGGTAAGGCCCTCACACACATCCTTGTGCATGAACTTGTCTCTGCTATCCCCTCTTTTTCCATTGGCAAGATTGTCTTTTCTCACCTCAGGAGCATGGACACAGTTCGGTTAGTAGGACTGGGGTGTGGGTAGTGCCGTCTTGTCTTCTAGAGCAGCCCCAACAACTGCTTTCCTTCATATTCCCTGGGAAGGATTCAGGATCAGGAGTCTTGCAGTTACCCTAATGTATACCATGTTGGTTCCCCTTTGGCTGTGTGGGTGACTGCAGATCTGAGACTCCTGTGTTCTGTTTTCTTCATCTCACCTTTTTTCATGCCTGCCTGTGCTAGGAATTGCCATCACTAACATAGTCACTACTTACATGGACCATGGCCTATTCTTACATTACCTTCCTTTAAAATTCTTCTTGTATTTTGCCAGGTGCAGTGGCACGCACCTATAGTCCCAGCTACTCAGAGGCTGAAGTGGAAGGATCACTTGAGCCCAGTTTGGGCAACATAGTGAGATCTCTTCTCTTAAAATAAATAAATACATAGGCCAAACGTGGTGGCGCACGTCTATAATTCTAGCACTTTGGGAAGCTAGGACCAGCCTGAGCAAGAGTGAAACCCTGTTTCTACGGAAAATAGAAAAATATTGTATAGTAAAGCATGTACCTAGAGTAGCAGTTACTGGGGAGGCTGAGGCAGGAGGATTGCTTGAGCCCAGGAGTTTGAGGTTGCTCTGAGCTATTATAATGATGCCACTGCATTCTAGCTAGGGTGACATAAGGAAACCTGCCCTTAAAAAAACAAAAAGAGGCTGGGCAGTACCTGTGGCTCAAGGAGTAGGGCACTGGTCCCATATACTGGGGGGGTGGCAGGTTCAAGGCCCTGGCAAAAAAAAAA